ATATAACGTATGTCTTAACAATAATTAATGAAGTCGAAGCTCGTAATATTTACCAATAATTAATGAAGTCAAAGCTAGTAATATTTGCCAAAACTAAATTTACACTTTTGACACTAACAACTATTTGGATATATGAGATACTTCCCAAAGAAATTATTAAAATCTTGCAAACTAGATATATTTGTTCCGAACAAATGAATCTTTACTGTTTTTAGAACGCCATCAGGTTGTATTTTAACCTGTACCGTGACTAGCCAAGAAATATAGTTTTGAGTAACTGTATCAGTTTTATCAACCCAACTTTGATGAAACGTAAAGTATATTTATCTAGTTTAGTTGTCGTTGTTTTTTATTATGAAATAGTATAAATGTCGGTGTATAAAAAACTTTATCAGCCTAAGTTTACGCAAAGACTATTGAATTATATCGTCTGTGATTGATTTAGCCCGATTACACTTGTCTGATGTAGTTCAAAACAGCATTTCTCAACTTGTCATGATATGGTAGATATTTTACAAATACAGCATTGAAAGAGTGAGAAAACTACTAATGTTTAAGCTAATTAAGTAACTGCAATTTCTCTTTCCAGAAGAAAGTGTGTAAAGGTTGGATGCATAAAAGACATGTTATGCAGATTTATTTTTTACGACTATAGACAATATATTCTTCTTACATGAAAGATGAATATTCTACTACTAAAAATCAAGCAGACGATTTTTAGTTTCTGAAAAGACCTATAGGTGGCGTTGATATAGTTCCAAATTCCAAGATATCAGGAAATGAGAGATCCTTTCGCTGTGAGATATGTTTGATATTCTTGGTTGTGACACTCATTCCAACCAGGAATCAGACATATGCTTATAGAGAGGGGCAATTCTGCCAAAAACGTCCGTGAGTTTGGTTTGCAAAATTGCCAAACTAATCTGAAACGTGATAGCACTTATGGCATAATTGTAAGGAAAACATAAAATTAATTGAATACAACTCAAAAATATTTTGTTTTAATTGCAGGCCTCATTACGTTTTTAAAACTAAATAGGTCACATCTGATATTGTAGGTGTATTTTTATGTCATTTTCTGTTGGTAGATTTTTTTTAGTATTTTAGAAGTTTTCAGAATTAGTTATAAAACCTAGCAACAAGTAATTGGATCACTGCTGTTACATGGTCTTGATCCTTAATAATTTTAGTTATTTGCTCATTGTAAGCCTTGCATATACTGTGTTTAGATAAACATTTCAAAGTCTAATATTTTCAAGGTTATAACCTTAGAATTGTCTTTTCTATTGGTAGACACCAGAAAAGCAACAGTCGTCTTATTTTCATCGATAATTTCAAGTTTTTTAACCTTGAGAACATCAGACTTTAGGCCAGTGATCAAAAGGTTTAATGATTATACATAAATTTATGTGATTGAGCTTATATCTGTATTATATATTGAAATGCTTATTCATGTTTCTTAATAATGGTTGAGATACTGTTTTCATGTCTTAAAAATACCGGAATAATTCAGTATTCAAAAGAAGAAAAATTTAACGAGGTGTTGTTTGTTAACGGAACTGAGGTGGAAATTAATGTTATTAAAATATTGAAAATTACTTTTTTAAGGAGCACAATATATCATGAAACGCCTACATTCAAACTATGTTGTACAGAGAATTATTTTAAACATTTACTGTAATTACTGATACCAATTTATCCAAATGTACTTTACTATGTTGGGAGAAGAGAGACTTTTGATATGTAAAACGCATGAAAGGTTATTGTTCATTCATTTTTGTTCAGAATAAAACTACTAGTAGTTAAAAGTGTATCTCAATGTATTTATTTTCTTAACGCGGCCAACAAAGGACAAAAATATATTAAATAATCCTAGAAGCAGTAAATTCGTTTGCAGCCACTATATGTGAAAGTTGCTTTCTTAAAATGAGTTCTTCCCTTTCGTAGACAAGGATTTGCACATTTACCTTTTGATAAATGTGCACATTTGCACATTTACCTTTGTATCAACAGATAAAAGGAGTAAAAAACAAATTTCAGGGTTAACATCATACATTTGGGTAAGTTATACTTTGTTCTACCGTGGTTTGTCTAGCAGTACAGAAGTAACAGTGTGGGAGATATACAACGAGTCTGAATGTTAGAAGCATCTGTTTACACTTCTATTTCCAAGTTTCATATAACTATTATAATTTATAACAATGTACACGGGTATAAAGAGTTTATCATATTCTAAATTAATTTTTGAGTTTAAATTTAAAAAAAAGGCTTTCAAAATGTTTGGAAATATCTATCATCATTTTTGTCAACAATACAGGTCCTCATACTTATTACAAAATAAAACATACAAGAATCAAATAATTTCCCAGTAATTATTAAATGTTTGTTTTTTTGTGTGTGAATAAGTCACTTCATGAATAAAATGGTAAAATCGTGTTTTGAGTTTACTTGTTTGTGTTAAGGATACATTCTTGTTATTTCTTCCAGATGCTTCTTTTTCCTGCTAGCATTTCAATCTTATTAAAGCAACTAATCCTCTTACACAAAGCTGCGATCATATGGTAATGAGGTTGCAAGGGTCACAGTTCATCTGCTTGGTATCAATAAGATTAAACCCGATCCTGAATTCCACTCTTTCCCCAGATGAAGTGGATTGTGTTTCTAAAAACATTTGCTCGACAATTTTGAAATATATCAATTTGTGTTACAGTTGCAAAACGTATAGACCAAGTGATACGAAAAATTTCAGAGAGAAGGTTTGAAAACAGTAAATCAGACACGATTTTGTTAATGCAGATTATGTGACGTGACACCACCACTTGAAGTTTTCAGAAGTCAATTCACCAAACATTGTACAAATTAACCCTGAAAATATGGACTTGTCTTCATGCTTTTCACTACCTTTGGAGTCCAAATATTGCCTCATATTCATTGATTTTATACTTTTATCTCATACCACAAATAGTGTAAAGAACAGTCAAATAACATGAGGTGAAATTACTCATTTTCTGTGTAAGATACACAAGAAACCTCTGCAGTAATTATAGGCTTTAGTTACAAAATTGATGGTGTTTCTGTTTAAATTTGTTTGTGTAACTCATCCATTATTAGGGATCAGCAAAATTATTGACCAATAACCAATTTGGTGCATAGATAATTTTAAAAAATGTGCTTAAGAAGCGTAATTGTTGGTTAAAATATATAACATGGTGAATAACACAGTTATTAGTGAATTGAAATAAAAATTAAACCCCTATGACTTTAATTTGGAAAAGCAGCTAATTTAACAATTATATGTTAATTGAATTTGTGTTTGAGCTAGTTTTATTCACTATAAATCTACAACGAAAGAAAAAGAAGTTTTATTAGGACCTACTAATTATACATAATATTTTAGAATACATTTATATTCGAATTTTGGTTTACTATTTTACAATGAAGGAACAGAAAAGGTTATAGATAGTCCGCACAATTCATTAAAGAATGAATAAGGACACGGAAGCATTTAGAGTTATTATTATTTATCGTGTTATCTTAAGACAAGTTTTTGTGGTAAAAATGGAACCAGAGGAAGCAAGAAAATGATTAGCATCACTTTTTATTGTAAATAATGTTAACCTTTTTCTGACAAATATCATAAATGTAACTCTCCGCGAAAAGTAGTCCAGTGATCAGTTGAGAAAAAAATACACTTGTAATAACACATCTATCTATCCATATATATATATATATATATATATATATTCCAAGCACCAACAGATTCGAAATATCATATATTTATATGTTTGGTTTCGGTCGGTCGATAGCGCTTCCGCAGCTTCACCAGTGCTGTTCAACCAAAATTTTTCAGTTTTCCTTGGTATTGCACTACCTACGAAACACCAAACGATGTAAAAATTTGGTTGTGATACACGCCTTTCAACAGAAAGGCAGTTGCAGCTTTAATATTAATCTTTAACCTAAAATGATAAAACCCCTCTAACCCGAGCGCTTTCGAACCTATGTGTTTTCTGACATCATGAACTTTTAACTCTGGGGTACACGCAGTGCTGACATACCATTAGTACAAATGAAAAAGTGTAATTTTAACATGTGTTAACTGTAGGTTGTACTCCCATAAACTTCTAAGTTAAAGAAATAATTCTGAATACCCCACTTGGCTGAAGAGCAGTGCTAAATCTATGAAAGCGCTAACAACCTACTGAAACCGAAAATATATATACATATATATATATATATAAAAGATACGTTATTTCGAACCTGGTGGTGCTTGGAATATTTTTGTATATTTATTTTGCTTGATTAGATCATAACCTTATTTTATATATATATATATCACATATGAGGGAAAAACTTCTGGTATACCATTAGCACAAATAAATAAGTGTAATTCTAGCATTTGTTATCTGTAAGTTGTTCTCCCACAAGCTTCCAAGTAAAATTAGTAATTGTGAATTTATTATACTTTGTTTCTAAATGCAGTATTAAAAGCTAGATATGAACCACTTAGGATTTTTCAATACAATCTTTAGTATTATTAGTACCAAAAGTTGTTTATTTTCCTGTAGCACCAGTTGTTAATTGAGTATAATAAGGTATTAAATAATGTCTTCAGTGCTGTTTGAGTATTCTTAATTAAATTTGACTTAATTTAATCCAGTATTTTAAGACAGAATTACAGTGTATGTACAATTATATATGAGTATTTGAATATGTATTTTCAATTACAATTATATATGAGTTTTCTCATCTGCAAATCTCTGAATGTTTATGTCTTTTTAATCATAATAGTTTCAACAAATATCTAATAATGATGTTAACAGCTAGAAAGAAAATATAAAATAGATAAATTATATCTTTAGATGTGTAAGATTTAAAAATAAACTCTAGAGAAATGTATCTATTTAATACATACCTAAACGCTGTCTATTTTTAAACTACCTATATATATAAAAGTAATTAGTTGTTATTTCATCCAATAACCATGAAAGTTTTATGACCAACACTACTTCGTTTAGACACTGTGGTAACTGCCACTTTTTTGTCTTCCAATTACTGCAGATGTAAGCATCAAATAGTATTAAGTGTAGTGCCGATTTTGTGAATTATTTTTCCTTTGCATTCTTAGTGTCAATACAAATACATAAGCTGACAATAGGCATAACAATGAACTTAATTTCCGTTAAAGAATATGGGGTATACATACCCATATTTTTATAATATTGGTCGATAAGGTTTTTATATATGCATGTTACATGTACTGGAGAAGAAATTAAACAAGTTTTTTAACATATCAATCACTTGTTCATTTATAAGCTTTGATACTTCAAAGATAAAACTTAACCCAATAAAGATAATCCATCTAGTGTACAAGGACGACAGTTATCCAGTGCCCATCTCAACAGTTCGATCGAACAGAAATCTATGAGCGCTATGTCTAGTGACTTCCTAGTGGAATATCATGAATACCAGTTTCATTCTCCAACTACTTGAGATATGCGACTGTTGAACATATCCTTCATTGAAACAACTTGTATACACGTGATTTATGTTCCTTTTTCAGACGGTTGCTATTGTTTGTTTGTTGAATTTCGTGCAAGTCTACTCGAAGACTATCTGAACTAGCTATCCCTAATTTTGAAGTGATAGACTAGTAAAAGGCCGTTAGTCAATACCACAAAGAGAGATCGTGAGCTACTCTAATCAAATAGTGGGGTTTGACGCACCCACATCCCAAAAGTAAGGGGTGCGGTTGTATTGGTAGTAACTGGATGCAAACCATGGATCCTCGGATCCATAGACCAGCGCGTTAACCACTGGGGCGTGCCCGGCCCGTTTTAAGACAGAATTCCTTCTTGATTATGTTGCCTGGGACACATGAATAGCTTTTGCCATTGACCTTTGTGTTCGTAGATTTACATCTGTTACAAAATGACGCACTTTTCTTACCACGGTTGGGTATAACGCTTTTCAAGTCTCTTTCTGGATGTTCCTAAACCCCAAATTGATCCATACACCTTTGTTTTCCAAAGCCATTAAGTAAGTGGCGTACCCCCGGTTTGGAAATTCTAAATCTTCGAGCTAAACACATCTTCAAAATCTGAGTGTATGAATATTTCGCGTCAGAATGGGCTGTTACATACCTTTCCAAAAGTGGTGTTTTCTTTGGTATCGCACTAACTACGAAACACTAAACGATGTAAAAATTTAGTTCTGATACATGCCATTCAACTACGAATTTATATCGGTTGTGGTTATCACGTAACTGTATTCCCAAAAATCGGTTTAATATAACGCAGTCAACCTCTGTATTTGTTCAGAACTTTGACTTCTTGTTTATAGCAACTAATTTTTCTGAATGTTTACTTTTATTGAAATGCTTGCTCTTATAGTTAAATAACAACTGGTGCTAGGGACAAAGGAAGCTGTTTTTTACTAATAATACTAACATTTTAAAACTTTCTCGTATAGAAATATAATGTGTAACTTTTTCATAAATTGAAAATATTTCTACTTCAATTCACCCTTTATAATTAGGCTGCTATAACTCAGTAGCATCACTTTAGCATACAAAACAATTTAGTTCGAGTTTTAAATAATAAAAACTTTACAAAATTCTACACTTTCAATTTTTCTCATACTGTAAAGAAAAAGCAGAGTCTTGTTTATTTTCGTATCTGTATTCTGTCATTATAATTAAGTTCAGTTCTCTCTCAGTTGCCCCCAGTGGCACAGCGGTATGTCTGCGGACGTAGAACGCTAGAAACCTGGTTTCGATACCAGTGGTAGGCAGAGCATAAATAGCCCATTGTGTAGCTTTGTGCATAAGTTCTAACAAACAAACTCTCTCATTTGAGCTGTATATATATGTGTGTGTGTGTGTGTAATGGTAATGTTTTAATCCAAAGAAAATTGTATCATATTCTACATCTTTATATGTGTTTCAGACCTTCCACATCATGTTAAAGAAAATAACCTATAGTTCATTATTTTCATACTTTAAGTCAGTATTTGAAGATTATTGTGCAGGGTAAACAGTTTAAAAGTAGTCGTTATTAGCTTTGCACATGTTTAAGTGTTTTAAGTGCTAATTATGTTCTATAGATGATTGAAAAATAAAGTTTCTTTGAACATTCTTGATTATCGGTATACTATGTTGACTTGGTAATAAAATCCCCAGTACCAACTTCTGATACTGGTGAACATTTGGAACTTGATATCTTTCTCAAGTGAGGTTGACTAGCAAGAGAAAACATTTCATTGTACAGATTAAAAATGATGCAACATAAGTACCTGTTCTGTTAAATTGTTGCTCATATTTTTATGTTGTTATATCTTTACACACTCACCCACCCAAAATACTAGTTCTGCATGAAGTGTCTCCAGCTATAGAATTGTTCAAAAGACTTAATTATGAAAACATAGTCAGTAGGTCATGTTAGCAGATGACGAAAAAGTCATTGTATTTTAATACACATGAGTAAACTACCAAATATAGTGTGTTTATATAAGCTACAATTGAAGAATGTCTGTGAGAAACATTCACTTAGAAAATGAAATTGGTCACAAGTAATTAAAATGTATTTTTTAATACACTACAGATCTGTGAGTAAACATATTTTGGACAAAATTAGATATTCTCGCTTCATCAGTGTCATCTGTTCCCCAATGGAACAGCAATAAGTTTGCGGACTTACAATACTAAAATCTAGAGTTCGATTCCCCACGGGGGATACAGTAGATAACTCAGTATGGCTTTACTCTAAAATAAACAAACTTCAATTTTATTATGATAACTTTATCTAACAAGATTCTCCAGCAAAAGAATAGGTAATATTCACCAAAATAAAGATCTCACCTTCGTACATTTACAGATATTCATTGATAGTATTTAGGAAACGTAAATGTTTTTGAACTAACATAAATTTATATCACTGATTAACAAAATAATATTATTTATTATAAAATTGACAAAAACGTTGTTCCTTATGGTATAAATGAATTGCAAATAGAAACAAGCATGTTGGTGTGATGAAAAGGAATACAGATGACTTACTTTAGAAACAGGTCTTGCATCAAAAGATTCCTAATGGGAAAAGTGTGTCAAATGTATACTGTATGTCTGAAGTGGATGTATTGTTATATAGATAGATTGTGGATAGAAAAAAGGATGAGTGACTAGATCAAGGTAATTCAACAGGAGCGGCTAATATACATGAAGCTGAGAGGAACAAATACTTGGATACTTGAATGATATATATATCATTCAAGTTATGATAGCCTAGAAGATCATGATATATATAAGGGATGATCATTGAAGTGATGATAGCCTAGAAGATCATGATATATATAAGGGATGATCATTGAAGTGATGATAGCCTAGAAGATCATGATGACATATAAGGGATGATCACTGAAGTGATGATAGCCTAGAAGATCATGATGATATATTAGGGATGATCATTGAAGTGATGATAGCCTAGAAGATCATGATGATAGATAATGGATGATGAATGAAGTGATGATAGCTTAGAAGATAATGATCATAGATAAGGGATGATCATTGACGTGGTGACTAGAATAGAACGATGATAGATAAGGGATATCACTGGAGTGATAATAGCCTAGAAAATAACGATGACAGATAAAGGATGATCAATGTGGTGATGATAGTTTAGAATATAATGATGATGGGTAAGTGATGATCATTGGAGTGATGATAGTCTAATAGAGAACGATAATAGATAAGGGTTGAACATTCGTACATACTTTTTAAACTCGCGACAAAAAATATGTTTTATAGATGAAAAATGTGTTTTCTGTTAAATATCAAGTTTTATTATCAAATCTCCCGAATACAATATGGATTCATTAGGAACATGGTACGGTTACACAAGTGTCACTTTCGGCAAAACGTTCACTCCCTTTTCAATATAAATTAATGTATCGCTCTTAACTTTGTTTAACGCAAACTGGAGTTTATTATAAGACGTTTCTATAAATATAAATAAAATCACGACCAATATCCTATAGATTTAACTGGATTAGTGAACTTGTAGGATATCGATAGCTTCTGACGAGACTGTAATAGCGAAATATTGAGCTAATAAAGTTACATTCTGGAGATATAGGTCGTAATTTTATTTACGTTTTTAGAAAATTGATGTATCCAACCGCATCGAAGTTTTTTTGTTTGTAAAGTTAAGCACAAAGCTACACAATGGGCTATCTGTGCTCTGCCCACCACGGGAATCGAAACCCGGTTTCTAGCGTTGTAAGTTCGCAGACATACCGCTGTGCTACTGGGGGGCTGGTTTTTTTTTGTTTTTGTTTTTTTTCAAGGGCGAAGATGTTCGATTGTGAACAAACCACGAGATGACATTTGTCTTTTTATTACTTATAAAATATAAATTTACACATAAAGCACATAAGTTAATGCAGTTCTGTAGTAAACATTTAATAAGGAAATAATTCAATGTAAAGGTCAATAGTGTTTTAAAGGTATGATTTCCTGTATTCTATTAGCAGAAATTACGTCACTAAAGTAAATATTTTGGAAAAAACAAAACAGTTAAAAGTTGTTTCTACTGTACAACAGTATCGTGTGAGTTATTCAAAGTGAAAATAACGTTTTATAAATGAAAAATTTGTTTTCTGTTAAATATCAAGTTTTATTATGAAAACTTTCAAATAAGAAAATTATTCATTAAGGACATCGTACTGTTGCACAAGTATCACTTACGGTTACACGTTCACACCCTCTTCTATGTAAATTGATACGTCGAAGTATTTTTTTTTCTGTTTTTCAAGGTCAAGAATGTGCCGATTGTGAACAAACCTCGAGATTACATTTGTCTTGTAAATACTTATAAAACATAGATTCATACGTATAGCACATAGGTAAAAATAAGACGTGAAAAAAGTTGGTGAAGTTCTGTAGTAAACAAGTGATAAGGGAATATGTCATTGTAAAGGTCAACAGAAATCTTGTAAAGGTATGATTTCCTATCTTCTTTTCGCAGAAATTACGTCACTGAAGTAAACATTTTGCAACAAAACAGTGAAACGTCGCTTCTGTTGTATAACAGTATTGTGTGAGTTATTCAGAGTAACAAGATGAAAATATACTTAGTTTTTCAGCTGTACAAGTTTTCAAGCGTAATTCAAATAAAAATGTTTAACAATTAGATGCTCGTCAGTTGGTTCACTTTCAAATACTCAATGGTGGAGCTTTAGCATAGGATTCGTTTCTTATGCGAGTTTATAAAAATCAATAGGGGATTTTGTAGAGAACCGACTTTGTGGTCAGTACCTCTCAGGAAGAGTATCTTTTTTATCTTCCCTTTTTTTTTACGGTAATATGACGAGAAAGTTAGACTCGCAGATCCCAAGTCCGGGCCCCCCAGAGGCACAACGGTATGTCTGCGGACTTATAACGCTAGAATCCGGGTTTCGATACCCGTGATGGGCAGAGCACAGATAGCCCATTGTGTAGCTTTGTGCTTAATTACAAACAAATCCAGTATTATGCAAATGTGAACCTCACCGGTAGTGAATTGTATATATAAAAAAAGCCAGTAGTTTTTTGATTAGTGAATAAACTTGAACATATCTTTACCATTGAAAATCTTAATGTACGAATTATAGTTCTATAGCCTACGTTTATCAGAGATTTCGGACAAACTGTCGGAAATTACTAAAGTATAACAAATGATGTCGTAAACACCTAAGTTCACTTATACACTTATTATCGAATTACAATGTTAATTTAAATTATAAAATACAAAAAGAAATCCAGCTGTGATAAAATATTTTTGAGAAAACAAAGCAATTTTGTTATACTATCATGTCTTTTGTCTTTTTTTTTATTGTTTTCGCACATGATATAAAAAATATGAAAAATCTGAAGCATAAAATATATTTTGTCAAACTTCAGCGAGGTTTAATTTATTGGCTAAAACATATTTCACTTGTGTTTGTAAAACTGCTGCATTCATTAAATTTTCGTGGCAAGTATCTCTTAACATCTTGGACTTAACAATTCCAATCGGAAGAAAAACAATCCCTTAAAAATGTATATACATTTTGGTAAACTAAAGGAGAGATATTGTTTTAGGATTTTAGAATATAATTAATTATTGACACAAATTCAAATCACTGTTGTTGTTTTTTATCTCAAAATCAATGTAGGTAAAGAGATTTTTCAAGTTGTTAAACATTATTAATGATATCATCTTATTTGGACTTTTGGTATTCCTTGTTAATTATTCTGCGAACTACTGAAACATACTCACTAACAATAAACCTTTAATTTAAGTTTCTGTATATCATACTGGTAAATTACTGTTGTGACAAATTGTTCTAATAAAACTTATAGCATTGAGCCATAATTGATAAAACTAATCTTATTGTTACTTTCACAAAGCCATACCCACCCAATGGCTCAGCGGTAAGTCTGAGGGCTTGTAACGCTAGAAATCAGGTTTCGATACCCGTGTTGGGTAAAACACAAATAGTCCATTGTGGTTAATATCAAATAAATTAACAAAAACGTCCACACACCCCCATTCTTCGATGAATAATGGTCCCAGCAAAAACAATAAATTTACATCATGTCCGACGCAACAAACGAATATATAAGTAACATTTTATTTAGAGAGTTGGTACACTTGTTTAGTTTGTTTGTTTTGAATTTCGCGCAAAGCTACACGAGAGCTATCTGCGCTAGCCGTCCCTAATTTAGCAGTGTAAGACTAAAGGGAAGGCAGCTAGTCATCACTACCCACCGCCAACTCCTGGGCTACTCTTTTACCAACTAATAGTGGGATTGAACGTCACATTATAACCCCCCCCACGTCTGAAAGGGCGAACATGTTTGGTGGGACGGGCATTCGAACCCGCGACCCTCAGATTGCGAGCCGAGTGCCCTAACCACCTGACCATGCCGGGCCTGAGTGGTAGACCATTGGTATAACGAGTGGAATCTCGACGTTCCCCTTATCTGGAACTGGATGTATTTAATCCATAT